ATTTTAGTTTATTTATTATTATTTTGTATGCATGGCATGTGTGGGTGATATGTGTACCATAACATGCAAGTGGAGGTCAGAGAAAAACTTTTGTGGATTTAGGGGATCAAACTTAGGCTTGCATGGCAAGAGCTTTTATCTACTGGGTCATCAATTCACTGGCCCAAAAGGAAGAGATTCTTGTCTTTGTTTTTTGTTTGTCTTGAGACAGGGTCTATTTCTATATAGCCCTGACTGTCTTTGAGCTCCCTTAGTAGACTAGGCTAGCCTAAAATGCACACATCTGCCTGTCTCTGCCTCTGCCTCCCAAGTGCTGTCTCTGATCTAAGACAGCACCATTACTCCTGGCTGAGTAAGAGATCTTCTGGTGAAATGCTTGCTATGTGGAAATAGAATTGAAAGAACTAATATTGGATACATTATCAACCTATGATACAAAATTCTTACTTAAACATTAGGAGCTGGAAAGATGGCTAAGAACACTGGCTGCTTTTCTAGAGGATCTGCGCTCAATTCCCAGCACCCACATGTGGCTCACAAGTGTTTGATGACTCAGTATCTCCAGTCCCAGAGGATCTGACATCCTCTTCTTACCAAACATACACTTGGTGAGCAGACATACATACAAACCAAAACCCCATACACCTAAAATAAACTTAAAAAAAAAAAAAAAAAAAAACTTCTTAAAAACAATGTGTTGGGCAGTAGTGAAGTATACCTTTAATCCCAGCACTAGGGAGGCAGAGGCAGTTGGGTCTCTAGGCCAGCCTGGTCTACATAGCAAGTTCCAGGACAGCCAGGGCTACAGGGAAACCCTGTCTCAAAAAACAACTGACGATGACAACAAAACAAAAAGACCAAAACCAAGCAACAACAACAACAAAAAAAAAACCACAATCCAAAAACCTCAGAACCCCAAAACAATGTTTTATCGGCTCAAAACCCAATTACAAGGTCCTTATTTATAATATAAAAGGCCGACTGCTACTGTTGGTGCAAATTTTCTTCTTTAAATAATCACAATGTCCCTTGAAATTCAGAGACCTTCTACTAGATTTAGAGTGTAACTTCTGTTATGTATTTGACAACTGAGTATATATTTTACATCTATGACTGGACCACTCCTGCCTACAAAATGAAGAAGGATTTGAAATGAAATTTCAAATTTCAAAAGCTCACATTTCAGAAATGCTTTCTTCTGCTTCCTCAGCAAATTCTTCCTCTTTGTTAGAACCTAAGTCATCATAAACGACACTAGCGATGTCATCATCACTTTCAACTGGATTGAAGAAATCTTTGTATTTCAGATTCCTGGAACTTTTGCTTGACTAAAATAAAGAAGATTTTTCAAATGTTTAAAGATAGAAAATTGTATAAAAACACTCTTGCATACTATACACACATACAAATTGCTAACTTTAATACTACCCCAACCAAAAATAGCTATTAGGGAAACTAGCAACTAGATATCTACCTTAAAACCATAAGGACAACTGAAGCACAGCAAATTGAAAGTATATACCTACTAATAACACATAAGAGTACACTACTCCATATCTCAAAACTCCTAATTGCCATTATTAAAAAAAAAAAAAACCCACCCTCCAAATAGATCATCTTAATAAGCCTCTCTCAGCCGTTTGCTCCATTTTTATATTTATTTGGGGGAGGCGATGTAAGGGAGGAGTGTTTTTTGAGGCAGGGTCTCATCACTTAGCTCAGGCTGCTTTTGAACACATATTCTTCCTCAGTCTCCCACTTACAATATTGACACTCCTGCACCACGGGCTCAGCGTTTAAATTTAATGAATTTCTTCAATTTTTTTTTTAATACTGTATTTTGCTCCAATGAATTTTGAGGCACATTAAATCTCTCCTTAGGAAAACATGACATTTAATTTGAAAGTTTCTTTTCCTAAAATCTTACCTTAATCTTCTGACGTCCAAACAGCCCTCCCTCATCTTCATCTGAATCAATGTCTTCAAAAAAGTCAATCTCCTCCTCCTCCTCTTCATCATCGGGTCTTTTTTCTTCTTCTTTTTCTACCTTCTCTAGAAAGCTCTCCATTTCAGATAGTTTGAAGAATTTATCATCCACTACAGACTTTTCTCTTGGTTTTCCAGGTGGTTTGGTTTGCATCTTGGTCTGCTGTTCCAGTTTGCTAATATCAAAGTCAAGGTCAGAATCCTCATCACTGAAGACGGGGCTTTTCCTTGGATCAGGTTTGGTTGAACTTCGGTCTCTCTGCCCCACTTTAGGAGCATCAGCAGCCACATCTGACAGCTGTTCCTCCTCTGCATCAGTCTCCAGTTTCTCCTGGCTCTCTACCTCCTGCTCCACCTCCGAGGCATCCTCTTCACACTCCTGATCTTCACTTTCTGGGAGAAGGCTGAGATCTTCATCCTCAATGGTTTCACTAACTGCATTCTGGAAGTATTGTAAGACTGGTTCATTTTGCAATTCTAGCTGTTGCCAAATCTGCTCATCATCAAAATTGTTTATCTCAAGTTTCTGTAAAGGACTTCCAGAGATTCGGCCATTCTCTAATATTTTATTAAAATCATAAAGAACTTTGGTTAAAGAAGTGAAGTTTGATGCTAGTCCATTTTGAATCCTATTGGGAAAGGAGATTAAGTGAAATGAATTATACCCAATAATATCAAGCATTCTGAAATAAAAGAAAAAATCAAAAGCATACCTTATTTGCAAAATAAAGTATAAATGAAGCATCAATTTTAAGTAAAGTATCTTGCTGATGAGCCAGAAGAATCTGACTTTACTGTATACATTGTAGGCTGGACAATCACTACTCATCTACTTGCCTGAACATACCTACTAAGTCAGCCTCAAATTCTCAAACCTGAAGCAGGGCGGTGGTGGCATACACCTTTAATCCTAGCACTAGTGAGGTAGAGGCAGGTGAGTCTGAGTTTGAGGCCAGTCTGGTCTACAGATTGAGTTCCAGGACAGCCAAAGTTACAGAGATAGCCTGTCTCCAAAATCAAAACAAATTTCCAAACCTGCTACATTATATACACTTTTTTTTTTTTTGAGACAGGGTTTCTCTGTGTAGCTTTGGAGCCACACCTGGCACTCTGTAGACCAGGCTCACTATATACACATTTTATTACTCATTTGGCAAGTGATTGCCATTTGGCTGTAGGTTTGGGAAAGTTTCTCTAACGATAAGACATCTGAAATGAGATCTACAGATTGAGATCTATAAGTAAAAGAGACTACCTAATAAACATTTGGAAACATGTACTGTGGTTTCAGAAATGAGTTCAGGCTATGTGAAGAACAGCAAGACCCAGACAGTTATAGTGCGATGAAGGAAGCAGAGTATAAACCTGAGGTTACAGATGCTAGGGAACCAAGACCCAAACCATGCAGGGTTCAGAGATAAGAACTTGTCAATTAAATATAGTAAAACACCGAAAGCTGCAAGCAGAAGGATGAAATGATGAACTACAATTTGGAAAGAGAATTAATAATAAAGGTAGATTTGTGAGAAGGCTTGAACAGCTTCCCAAAGGATGACAGAGGTTTATATTGGAGTCACAACAGTGAGTATGGCAAATAGGAATCAAAGTCTAAATATAATTTAGATAGGATTCATAGGATGCTAATGGATCAGATAGAGGAAATACAAGACAGAGAAAAATGATGACACCAAGTAAGTAGACTAGCTGACTATGAATAAATGAAATGATAGAATTTGCCATTTATTGAGGCAGTAAACGTAACTTAGGTAGTGGAAATGGGTAAATGACTAAAAAGGAGAAGAGTATTGAGGGGAGAGGATACTTTATTTTGGACACAGTGAAGATGTAATGTTAAGAGTATGGATCTGCAATATAAATCTGAGTAATACTTTTCTAGACTTTAACTGAAGTGCTAGGAAGAAAGTTGGGAGTCTGCCCTAATTTTCAAACTCAGACGTGAAAGTGCACTGACAAGCAACAAGTACGTACTTTCAGAACAGCTTAATGACTGGCAGGCGGTGGGTATTTTGAAGACACATATCCAGAAAGTGCAATCAGCACGGAATAAGACAGCATGTGTCATAGTCTCTCTGGACGCTAATAACAGAGCTTTGTTTTATTTCAATAGCATACAACTAAGAGATCTGCACTGTACTGCGTTCACTGATGAAATTTTGACAGGCCGAGAGAGCAAAATCTGTCTGAAATTGGGGTTAAGCGACCTGTACTCCCTTTCCTGTCTTTCATAAGTTGCCGAACGCCGGCCCGCCCGGCATCCATGCGAGGCGGGCCGGCCTCTCAGGCTTGGAGCTGCACTTACGTGAGGAAACACTCGGGTCGGTTGGTGGCTTTATTGACTTCCTTCAGACAACGTTCCAGGGTCTGTCGACGGGTCACGCGAGGTGCCATAGCTGTGAACTGTGGCACCACGCGAAGGCTAAGAGACAGCCGGAAGCCTTCTGATAAACAGGCACCCTCTGCAACCTGAAGCTCAGAGCCAAAGATTCCGCGACGCACAGGTTCCGGCCAGGCACCCAGACGGTGCCTATACCAGCGAGCACCTTCTATTGCGCATGCGTGGAGGCGGGGCAGAAGAACCGGAAAGATGTATTGTTCCTCTCAATCGCCTCATCTCTTTCACCAAAAGTCTTGTTTTGTATTTCTAAGAGAAATACAAGTGATGTCGTGTGATTGCTTTCCTTTTCTGCTTTCGTATTTTAACGGAAGAGCAGCTCGCTCCACCACGGCCTCGCTTTTCCCACCCTCTGTAGACATCAGTCAAGCTCCCGACCTTGTGGCCCCGCCCCTGGCTTTACGCCCCGCCCCTTGCCCTTCCATTTTCCCTGCTCTCCCC